CTATCCCTTGACGCTAGCCCGCCTTCAGCCGGCTTTTGACAGCGCCACGCTCCAAGCACCTCGTGCAGTAGGAGCTCCAAGCTCCTAGCACCAACATGGCTTACTCAGAGCTGCTCTAATCCGCCAGCCGGCGGCAGGGCTCGGCACTGATCCCGCAGCTCACTTCACTGACCGCATAACGCCGCACGCCCTAGCGGAAGCCGACGGCTCCAGTCACCACTCATCACGGAAAACGCCAACGCGACGCTCGTAGCGGCTGAAGTCGCGATTCCCAAGGTGGGGTACGTCGCGGCTCCTCTGACGTCGGCCTCAGCGAGCATTATAGCGTGTCTGCATGCCGAGCCTACCAACGAGCAATATCCGCACGCCGGAACGAGCCAAAATGGGTGCCGGGGCTCAGCAGCACAGCGTCTGGCGCCTACGCCGCTCGCTGCCGGCGCGTCACCTCCACGCTCAGGACGTCCGGTGAGACGTTCGTCCGTCGCGCCACCGCCGGCGGCGTCCGGAACCGGAACCGAGGGCGACGTCGCGCCACGTTTGCCCCATCACGCCGCGCTCTGGGCCCGACCGCCGACGGTTCGCGGACGGCCTTGTCGCTCCGGAGGCTTGGCGGCCACCGCTCACGGACGGGAACAGAGGCGGCCGGTACGTATTACCTCTTACGCACCTTATCGTCATGCCGGCAGCAATGCCATCGGGGTGAAACAAATTGTGTGCATAAAGGGCGCAATTAAAAGGTTGTACGGCTTTGTTAGCTCTGTCGTGTGTGCATAATGCACGCATAACAAATAGCGAATTCCCAGTTACATATCCGCAAAGAGGCAGGACCACTTCATTTGCAATACATCTCACATGGCGGCGGCTCCTTTATCTTTGCCCTGTAATGTCTGCCACGTTTTGCGCGCAAAGCAGCCTCCCCGGTAGAGTGGTGTCCGGCCGCGGTGCCGACACTGCCACAGTATTCGCTCCACATGTCACAGCGCTACGGCGCAGTCATCCTTAAGTCCATCTTCCCAGTGGTGATACGTTCGCCGTTCTGCGCTATTTATAGCGGCGGAGCCCTGGCTTCAACTCATCGTATTTCAAACCGAATGTTTACCCTTTACATGGTGTTTTGGACCGAAAAAGCCACATTGTTACGTGCGTTGTGTCTGTCACAACCATCACACCCAGATTAAGGGGAACGCTCCACATTTCAATATATTGAGGCAAACATCAGAATGATGAAATAAGCTCACCAGATAACTTGGTATAGATGGAAATGGCTACTCTAGGCAACGCAGTTTCTCTGTTTAGTACATATGCTCCTCAATTTGCCATTGTTTGATTGTCATCTTACCTTAATTCACTGACTGAGAGCCAACTGAAGGCCGTTATATCTGGAGATCGTGCTCACGGACGCCAAATTTGAAGGACTCGACGAATAAATTTGCATTGAATTGGCCTTGATCGCCACATGGCCAACGGAATAACAGGATTTCAGTGACGTTATTATGGCGTCATGGAAGCCTTGGTGGCCTTGAAATATTCTGCCCGAAAAAGTTTGCGCATCTTCGCGAGTGTAGTTAAGAAACTAAAAGGGTTTCGGTCTTTAGACGGGCACGGCTATTAACTGCACCGCATATCTCCACGATGGCTAATTCAGCCCCAAATTCTATTCAAATGTGGAACACTAGCTATAAGGTCTGCTTGCTATATTCATGAGCTTGAAAACAGCTGTTTCGGCTATCCGTTCACGGTGATGACAATGATCGACACGACCACGATCGATGACGTTATACCGAGGCGAGAAAAATATTTATCCACAAACAAACACGAAAATCCTCGCAGACAGACAGCAGAATTTTATAAATTCCATCGGTCACCCCGATGCTCTCCACGGGGTCGTGGGAGGTCAACTGAGTACAGTGGCCTGCATTCACGGCACCTGGCGACACGCTGGCCACGCTGAGCCACACGCGTCCCCTGAGAGTGCTGACTGACCCTCCGTTCCATCGAGGAGGCCCACTGGACGTGATGCCCTCAAACGCCGTCCCCGGGAGGCCCGCAGGTTGCCGTGACACACTCCTGTCCCCGGGTGGGGCCGGGAAGACTACTGGACACGCCCCTGTCGCGCCGGGCAGGCTGCCCTGACCCGCACTCCCATCCGCCGGGGCGCGCTGGTCGATGCCCGTCCGGAGCCGAGGCGGCGGCGGCGGCGGCGGCGGCGCCCGCCACACGCGGCCGACAGGTGAGTGGCGCCTTGGCTACAATATGCGCTCGCCGCGCCGGCGGCGGCGCGCGCCCGCGGACGCAATTCAGCGAACCCGCGCGGGGCGCCCGGCAATTACCGGCCGCAGCGGATGTCAGCGCCAGCGGCAGTCCACGCGCTCACTGATACGCCAGCCGGCGTCTCCGCGACATAAGGTACTCTTGAAAAGCAACGCACGGCTCGGCGGCCTAGTCAGCCATGCGACAAACAGCAATCCTGTTCGAAGCTTGAACGCATATTTGGCAAGTATCATCACGCAGGGGGTGCATCCGACCGGTGAAAACGCCGCGGGTCATGACTAACAAAGCGGGTCTACGGCGGACCAACATGCGAGCTCCAATGGGTATCACATGACGGCGAAGCCGCACCTTGGGTTTCCACAGCACGTGACAGCTCAACATACAAAATGAGAAAAATGGTCACACAGTGCACTGCCAGCGCCGAGTAATTGAATACACATGAGCACCGCTAGAACCGGGCGAACTCCGTACTAAGACAATTCATGGATGAGCGCAACCGGTGTAAGCATGGCCGCCAGCCGACGGCGCACGGTTGCCACCCAGACACGGAGAGCGACGAGCTCGATCTGTCATTGAGCTCTCTGTCCTATGGGCTCTTGTCCGAATACAAAGGACGTCCGTGCCGCCGCCTTATATCGAGAAAACCCTTCGGCAGAAGTCTTGGCTGCATTGTCACCAGTCAATACGATCAGGCATGGCATGAGCCAAGCCGTGCATCGGGCGCTGTCGGATGGACACAACGGAAGCTAGAAAAGTCGCTACGATCGGGTACTGGGCCGCTCCACCCCGTGGCAGGTCAGCGGAGCCGGACGTCATGATCTGGACTGGACAGTTACGATCGATCGATTACATTACGACATGGCTGTAAATCGCCCGCGCCGTTCCTCACGATCGGATCCCATGCGCCTGGGCAGTGTGCACGGCGACAGCCAGCCCAGCCAATACAATGGACCACTGGACGGGATGTTGTGTCAGCTGGGACGCTCACTGTGATCGGGTCCCAGGCGGCTGGGCATAGAACCGGCTAAGCCAGGCGATGTGATTGGGCGTCGCGCGGCCGGACGCCTGCCACCCAATGTCGGCTTAGTCCGCCGTCCTGATCGGGTGGCGGCCGGCCGGACATGGTGTTAACTAAGCCAACCCCACGCACGAGAGCGGGCGGCTAGACGCGGTGTTGACTAAGCCAACCCTACGCACCAGAGCGGGCGGCTGGACATGGTGTTGACTAAGCCAACCCCACGCACGAGAGTGGGGGGCTGGATGCGGTGTTGACTAAGCCAACCCTACGCACGAGAATGGGCGGCTGGACACGGTGTTGACCACGCCAACTCTATGCACGAGAACGGGTGGTTAAACATGGTGTTAACTAAGCCAACCCTATGCAAGAGGGTGGGCGGCTGGACACGTTAACTAAGCCAACCCTACGCACGAGCACAGGTGGCTGGACATGGTGATAACTAAGCCAACCCTACACTATAGGGTGGGCGGCTGGACACGATGTTGACTACGTCAACACCTTATGCATGGGAGCGGTGTCTGGACATGGTGTTAGCTAAGCCAACCCTACGCACAAGAGTGGCTGGCTGGACATGGTGCTGACAAAGCCAATCCTATGCAGGAGAACAGGAGGCTGGACATGACATTAACTAAGCCAACCCTACACAACAGAACATGTGGCCAGGCATACATAGTGTTCATAAGGCCAACCCTACACATGAGAGCAGGTGGCTAGAAATGGTGTTACTTAGCCAACCCTCCACACAGCATGCAAGTAGCACTGCAAAGTGCTCACTAAGCCAGCCCTACACACAAGAGCTGGTGGCTGGACATATTGTTAACTAAGCCAACCCCACACACAGGAGCAGGTGGCCGCAGTATACCCCAATCAGGTCGCTGGGTATTTGGATATCCATATCAAGTACCTCTCTTGGTGAAACATAGCCACTGTGGACTCCCAGCAGGTCTTAGCAGTTGCAATATTAGTGTGTATCATAAAGGTGATGGGCCATGCCCAGCCCAGCAGCAAGGATTATCCTATTGTTGAAATCATTGCCCCAAACATCAGTTTGGTACTTCTGGCAACAGCCTGAAGTCCTGGACACTCAAGATGGCATCCAATGTGTTGTGCCATGTTTCAAAACAATGGGCCATTTTTGTCTTAGGATGACAAGATCCCTGGATGTACCCCAGGCATCATATTATGACCACATCCCTGGTTCCCTGCCAAAGAACTTCTTTTAATTCTCCAGAACTTGGTCAGACCAAGTCTTACACCCACTACCCCGCAGCGTAAGCACAGTTATGCATCTGGAGTGGGTGAAAAAACAAAAATTTTCTTCATGAGAGAAGCAAATATTAACAATCCCTAATATTCACAAACTTTCAACCAACTTCCCATGAAGGCACTCACTAACTAACCCAAACATCATGCCTCAGGCAAAAACCATAGCTGCCTTGGCTCTTCTCAGAACTGAAATTTTATCTGAGTGGATTTGATAGTTTTAAGAGATGTTGGTTACTTGGATCATTTTGCTGGAAGCCCAACTACAAACCAGCCAATGGAAATAGCACAACCAAGAATGATGGACCATTTATAAAGCATAATGGAGCAACTGCATACCACCATTCTATGCTAACATCATTCATATGTTTAACATACCAGAAATCAAGGTGAAGTACATGGCAAACCAGTGGTAAAACAATAAAATATAAAAGTTGAGTGGAACTACCTTTTTATTCTGCTGGCTTGTCTGACCATCCTCCATCTTCCAATCTTCATGTATTCAGTCAAGCATTATCCTGGAAGCAGTAATTTGCATGCTATTAAATATTTTTATTGTTGTAAAATTTTAATACTGGCATAACCCAACTGCCCAGGCTTTCATTTCTAGCACCAAGTGCTATAAATTTATGATCCAAGACATCAACAAAAAATACATTTCCTTTTCTATATAATGCCAATCCCTATTTCATACCCGAGAACAGAAATAAAGTAAAAACAGAACAAAGGTCTGTGCATGACAATGTTAAATGCTCCACTTCTTACACCTTGCAGCAAGGTTAGTGGCAACCTTTCAGATGATAAATTATAGTTATGCCAACACGCACTGAGGACTTGCCTGGCGAGTCCATAAGGACTTACCCATGACAGAAATATATGTTTTAAATCTTCATTTTATAATGGTGACTACCAACTATTGCATTCTGAAATAACATAACACCGATCTTGATGCTGGATATTTTAAATTTTTACCCGCCGACAGCGGCATATCTAAGCGCCAATACCTCGCCACAACACCGGGAAAACCCGCACTTATCCCAGAGCTCGAACGACAAAACAGCTCAATGCCCAAATACTACGACCAGTTACTGGCTGTAACGCCTCCAACCCACCTTCCCACACACTGTAAACAAAATGAGTACCTGCCCACCACCCAACCGCCGCACCTCCTCCTCGCTCTTCCTTTCCACGATTGCCAGACTGCGACGAAAATCCCCATGTCATGCTGAGCAGCCACCAAAAATCCCTAGATGCTGCGATCTGCGGAGAGGATTTGTGATCGAACATACACCAACATCTTATATTGTTCGATCTGCACTGATGTTAAAATACTTTTTACGTATAGTATCAATCTTAACAAATGCATCCGTGCCCATGTACATTCCTCGAGATAAAAAAATAGGGGAAATGAAGGATCCTGATGAATTTGCGACCTTCGAGCAGGAAGGATGACGTCTATACCGAGCTTACCATTCATCGTACTCATTGACCTATACAATGATCGTACTAAAGTCTTAGGTAAGACAGCAACAATATCATTCCTTGTAGAAAAACCAGGGGGATGGAGAGATAGATTTGATATTTAGATGATTTAGTTCCAGATTTACTTTGGCACTACCATTTGACCAATGACATAAATCCCTTCGTTTTGACATAAAATCCTTTCGACAAAGACATAATGCCGAGATATCAACGCCTTTATCTTTACATTCTCTTGTTTCTTTACGAGGAATAATGAGATTACCTCTGATTATATATGTGCGTCATACTCTTCGCAAATGCACCTAACAACTCTCTTGAAATCTTATTTTACCAGGGATAGTGTCTAGATTTCTCTAGTTCGAATCGTAATAGCCTTTACCGTCATAGCCAAGGTCTTGATCATAGCAGACCATGTGAAGTGCATGAATTACCGATACGCAAAGGCAATGCTTAGTTGCAGATCAGCAGACTTCAGCGATGCCAAAACACCTCCGCATGACCCGAATTCACCAATCTTGGGCAATCAGCGCACGGAGCGCCCAACAAAGGCACGAAGCATTCCAACTTCAATTGGCTGTTCCTGCAAATTTGGGCGTTTCTTCGCAGCATTCACTGCACTGAAACAGGCTTAGAACTCCATAAGTTTTGGTTATTTGCTTGATCAGCTGTTTGGTATGTTCATGGGCATATCGATGGGAGCTTACTATCGATAGCAAGCAGTCGCTAAGAAAAGCTAGCCCGATGTTGAGATGCTTGCCATTTTTACGTTCTAATAGTTTCGAGATGTTTGAAACAAGCATGGCTCGTATTTTTTCGTAGATTTACACTGAGAGAGTGGTAGCTTAGAATCAAAGCAATCTCCTTTTACGATAGCTTTTGGTAGCCTTGTTTCCAATATTGTCGTTGTTTACTTCAGTCTGTGATTATGTATGCATGCAAACCTTTTATCATAAATTGGTATATACAACAATTAGTGGCATAAATCGCCTTCATTATTCATGAGATTAGTGCAGTTAGGTAAGTGTGTGAAAGCGCTATCGATTTCAGAGTTGCTGAAACCGGAAAAAAACACGTACGGGTAGTTGTTGTTGAGCCCACTCTTTTACCAAGCCCTTGTCTTCCACGACATCCCTTGTGCTATCAGGACACTGGGAGGTTGTGCAATTGGTGAGTTTGCCGTATCCATGCGTGTGCGGCGAGTGGTGGTGCCGCCTTCCTGGGCATAGTGGTATTCTGTTTCGGCGTATGCCCGGCGTGAAACATCGAGGTAGGTGATGGTGGGATTGTTTGGTTTTTGTGTACCTACTATTGCTGGAGCGGCTGGGTTCATTACCTTCATAATCATGCTAAGGAAATCACACTTGTCACAAAGTCATGAACTCACGTGAACATCTTTCGAACAGATGGGTGCTAGTTCATTTGTCATTTCTAGTGTCGTACCTTCAAGTGGTGTTAAGTGGTGTTGAAACAGTCATTAGGTATGGCTTGGTGTCATGTCAGTCATAGCTGAAGTTCCATGCAGCTGTCATTGTTTATTGATGTTTTGAGGCGCATCAACTGCAGTGACCATTCACACCCAACTGTTTAGTGCCCAAAGATTTCTGTAGTTTTATGTGCAGTGGAGCAACTGAGCGTGTCGTGATTTGTGAAAGTATATCTGTGGGGTCTGTTTTGTAAGCTGCAGCCCAGACTGCAAATGATGCATGCTGTACCAAACATCCTTGGTGTAGTAGGAACATTTTGACAATAATTTGAGTGTTTTCTCCCTATAAATCAGAGTGCTCAGAAACTTGGTGCACTGTCTCCACCAATTTCAGTGTGCAGGGGTCATGCCTTATGTTATTATAATTTTGTTCAGGGCATTTCAGGCAGAACTACTCCCAACATATTTTTAGGTAGAATTAAATTGTAATTCAATTTTTGTTTGACATTACTTGAGTTTGTACTTTGGAGCATACATTCACCAGTTTTAGTGCTCTAATGTTGTGTGGTTATGAGGGCACATGGTGGATGGATTTGTTGCAGGCTGGAATGTAGCAACCTGCAGAATAAAGGTGTTATGTTGATGTAGCAACAAATTTGCTGCTCATCAGCTAATTATGCATCATTGTTCATGGCTTAAGCCTGTCATAATGCCACTTTTACTATGGCATGTCAGTTTTTCCTGCCCTAAAAACTCTTGGTGCTGTCTTTAAAGTTTAAAGGCTTTTTCTTTCAGCATGACTAATGGGTGTCTTTCTTCCAAGGTGCCCAAGAAGAAGTGAAGAGGATGGGGATTTTCACCAATAGCTCACCATTTGATGGTGACGTGGGTGAGTTATATCATACATTACAAGCATTTCATGTATTTCCTATGATTAATGCCATCTATCCTAAATCCATAATTGTTATTGCATAATTCATGCATCAAAATTGCATGGGATATATGGCAGGGGCTGAAGAATGATGTTTTGTGCTCAGGCATAGGTTCAGGTGCAGAAATATGCATGTTCCTGCTATGTTCAACACAAGCACTGGTGTCAGAAGTTGTCTGGACAGATGAAAGCCAAAGGAAAATCATCAGATATATGTTTTTCATGCTCCAAATTGTGATGTTGGTATACCACAGTTATCCTCATTTATATTATTAAGATGTGGCAGTTATAGCTATCACTGCAAAAGCCTGTTTTATCTATCAAGCATTTAGTGTCCCAATAGCAATGATAACATAACTCATGAAATGCCTTGTCAGTGGTAACATTTCATTTCTGGAGAACAGCAAGTATGAAGTACAGATGTGACAATTAATGTGGTACTACTATTATTCTTATGCTAGTCCAGAACTGCATGTACTGCCACCCTTCCTCAAAGCTGTCATTCACTGGACCAACTGAGGTCAAACCACACTGGTCCTGTCACATTCATTAGATGCATCACTCAGCTCATGAGAGTGTAAATGTGATGGCAATGCACCTGTATAACTGATTGAATCCAGACAAATGTGAGTGTGCTGGGCCTGCTGGAACATGCCTGTCAGTGATTATCAATGTGTGTCTGTCATCACCCATGTGGGCCTGGTGCTAGTGCTTTCAGCTGAGGCACTGTGACAGCAGTGTTGTAATATTCAGCCACTTGGAAAGCAGAGACCCAGTGCTTTCACACACTGTTGCACCCCAGATTGTGGTTTGCTGCCTGGTGCCTCTGTCCTCAGTCAGAATTGGCCAATCAGCATCAAGCTGGATGGTGTTGAACCCTGCATAGATGTGCTTGAGACCTGCATGTGGACTGGGCAGATCAGATATTATAAGTTTGCATCAACAAGCAAAATTTTAGCAGCAAAAAGTGTCATGGGCTGTAGCTGCCAGGGATACAGAAGTCTGATTGCCTGCATTTATATTTACATTATTCATGCTCTAGATATCAGGCCATTGTGGTGGTTGGGGCTGTAAGGCCAACAAGTCACAAATTTATTGATATTGTGCTATGTAACTAGGGGTTTAGCAGCTAGTTCCTGTTGGTGTTTAAGCAAGTTGTTGGATGGCTGCCTTGGTTCTTTGGTATTTCTTCACCAATGACATTGATTAAACCTTTAAAAAGTAGTTACTTCAAGAATAGCTTAGTGCCGGGTGATCTCACCAAAAATCACTGTAAGATGTAGAGCACAAGACCTCCTTGTTTCCACCCTCATCAGGGTTTCATGCCTTAAACTGTGTGGGAGAAAACTCAGGAATGATCATGCATATAGTCCAATGCCACTGTTTTGCCAGACCAATTTTAGTCAAAGTCTTCAGTCAAACTCAAACTCAATCTGCAAGCTGGTGTGTGAGCCATATGATTTGCCATCATGCATCACCTGTTTGAGATGTGCAAGTGATTGCTGGTGTCAGGGAAGCCTGTGTACAAACTCAGTGTAGTAGGCTGAAATGTGTTGCCCTGGTAACCACATTGCTACTTGTGGTGAGGGTCCTCTTGTGGCAGTGACAGCAGCAACTGAGGTTTGGTGTGTGGGCACATGGACCCAAGCTGGTTAGCACCAGACAATCTTTTTAATGATATTGACCAATGTGGTGTGATGCTCTGCTATAAGGTCATCTGCTTCACCAGTATTGGAATGCAAGCTATACAACTAAAGCTAAAGCTAAGCTATACAAGCTAAGACAACAAAGACAAACAATCAGAACCCTGAAAATGACTGAGTTACAGTTGTTATGTGGTCACTTACTGATCCTCAACATGCCAGGAGGTACTAGTTTAATGATTTTATCAAGCAAACACTGGCTGTATTGTCAATACCTGGTTATATTGTCAATACTAGACATATTTTTGGCAGGTGCTCAATCATATGTGACCACTGGATCATAATGGTGTGTCGCCAGAGTTGGCTTGATAATGTCATTTAACCAGTTCTGTGTGGTATATTGAATGTTGATATCCATAACATATCTAAGAACTGTACTAGGAACATGTGTAAACTCATGGCCTTGAAAACCTGAAGATTAATGCCTCTTGCTTATACCCATGAAAAATAGCTAAATGAAGAATATACATCCTTGAATGCATCACAGAAGAACTGATTCTTAATTATTAACCTGTCGGGAATGCCCCTGGCCACCTCCACCATCCTCAGGCGGTCATCAAGTTTTCAGGTGGTGGTGGTTTGAGGTTGTGGCGGAAAACTGAGACTCTGGGCGGCCAAATTTGTGATTCTTTTGGTTTAACTTTGGAAGCAGTATTATCGTCGTTGCTGCCAGCTGAGTGAGGTTTGCAGCATTTAATAATGTGATATTTAAATGGTGCTTCTCTTCTCTCTGGTGCCCCTTATTGGCAGTACCTTTGCAGTTTGCCAATGGCCACAAGTTTTTTTGTGGCCCATATTTCTCACTGGGCTATTAACGGATCGTACCGCACCAAGTCGATCAAGTCAATTTCTTGATTGATCAGTCTCTCGGAATCCATACAGAATTGGGAGGTAAATGCCAGCAGGCATTAAGCGTCTCCTTACACAGGCAGAAAATCTCTACTCTTAACAATCCGGCAGCTGGTAACATACAATACTGCGCGAATTGGGTGCGCCGCCGTGGAGGTCCAGAGATAGGTGCCGGACTTATCTGGTGACCTTGGCTACGATTCCCGGGACATTTACGTTTGTAATAGTAATTAGTTATTGACCTGATTGACTGGGTGGGAGATGGCCAGCCAACAATGCGCCAGGCATGGTGGACCGGACGGGGAACAGCCTGCGTTAAGGCATTGTGTGACACGGACAACGTCCCCTGCTGATGAATCTGGACGTAAGAGGTCGGAGCCCAGAGGCAATTGCATATTGGAATGAAATCGTGCGTCGGTCGGGTTTTGGGTTCAGGGCATGTGTATGGAAAACTGAAAACAAACATGGGGTGTCGGGAGGTGCCGGAAGTGGCGTCTTAGTGGCGAATGTGAAACTGAGGCTTATTCGCAATGAAAGCTGGTGTGGCCGCTGCCACGACCACCACACTAGATTTTTCATCAGTGGTTCAGGGCGCACCTGAGACGCTCTGCTTACCCTGCGCACTAGGTCCGAAGCCGCTCGTGCAAACCAGTCGAAGTTATCGGTAGAAAGAATGCGTATCAGCAATTGACACAACTCATGCCGCTACCGAGATAACAGATCCAATGAAACACCATATCGTTCAGTATTAGCCGTCGTGTGTTGGCGTACCAGCTGAAGCCGTGACAGACCTGCACGTGCAGTGAAATAGCCAGCAAACACGCCGGCGTCACAGCCGGAACAACTCCTAACCATCAGCTGGTCTGCGCTGCTCTGACAGCAGCGAGTCAGCCACGTGCTGATGACGCCGAGAGGTCGAGCCGCGCCGGGATCCTCGTGTTATTGGTCTTGTTACCGCCTAATGTGGCTGGGGTGCTTGTGGGACCGCCTGTGTTGACGTCTGCGGCGGCCGAGGAGTCTCGGTAGCCGTGTGAGACCGGCCGTGATGCTGTGCGGCAGAGCGTGTCACCGACGAGAAGAACACGACCGACAACTGGGGCCTGATCATGGACATCTGTGACCGGGCGGGGGCCAACCCCAAGGAGGCGCTGCGCTCGATCGTGCGCCAGCTGAACCACAGAAATCCGCACGTCCAGCTGCAGACTATCACGGTGAGCAGGGGCGGCTCCCGTCCCGCGACTGGGCGCCGGCTCTGGCGCCCACCCCTCAGACGGCCCCGCCACCCTCAAACGGCGGCCGGCTGCAATGGTGGTGATGATGATCATGATGATGATTCTTATTATTGTGATGATGCGTCCCTCTTATCCTCTATCTCGCTTCATCCTGCGTCCTCGCGACACCCGCTTGTCCTGGACAGGATGCATGCGTCAGCCACGAGTGGGCCGAGAGCCCCGTGGGAAGGGGAACCCCGGCCGGGTACCCGCGCATGCGCGGGTTGAAGCTCGGCGGTTGGCCCCCCAGGCGCGTGCACGTCTGTCCCATCGTTAACCATTTTCCTTCATCCCATAGCCCTGAAATGATCATGTCTGGTCGAAAGGGCTCTAATCCAAAAACCAACTATTATTATTGTGATGATGATGACGATGGCCAGTAATGGCTGATGACAGAAGCGGCTAAAGGAGTGTCGACGAATAATGCAGAATAGTAGGCCAAGGCTAAACTTTTTCATTGGACCCATCATGTAATGTGTCTGGAACTTAGAAAGAGGGTTGTTAAGTGACAATAGACTGTTGTTTCTGATCGTTGACTGTCCTGGATCATTCGGTGAAGACGATAGCCGAATCTGTTCTTCGAAAGTAAATGAATATTTCGTAAGCTGTTAAGTGTATTTGCGAGGAGCACTACACATATAGATAAAGGAGTGTTATAGCCTGATTCATCGTAGAAAAACCATGAAATGGAGAGATAGATGCGTTGATTTTTCAGCACCATGCCTTTATATGCCTTATATGCCAACATACATTGATATTCGTTTGGATAGAGGGATATGGTCGAATATGAACGTACCTTTCCCTCCATTTCTTTTTTTCTACGAGGAATAAGGCCATGACGTTTGTTTTACCTGCAAACTGATACTTGTGTTCTTGCTTCAAAACGGGCAGGTTTGCTGGCCTTTTAAGGACAGCATGTTGTAAGTTTCACGAGTGGCAACTTACATGTTGCCACTCGTGGCAACAACACAAGTGGCAACGCTGACAGCACTCTGTCCATCTGATTTCAGTTGCTTGACGCATGTGTCAACAACAGCGGAAAGCCCTTCCATCTTGAGGTGGCCAGCCGCGAGTTTGAACAAGAGTTCAAGAAGCATGTCCTGAGCCAGAGCACTCACAAGCGTGTGGGCTCGAGACTACTGGCTGTGAGTTGGGATGCGCTCGAGGACCTGGATTTGTCGGCACGCCAGCTGTTGGCAGCACCGGGCTGCAGGCCTGAAGTTTGAGAGCCTTTGAATGATATTTGAAACAGCTCCCAGAGCGGTTGAAGTTGGCCACATGTGTTCCGCTGCGTTGAACTCTCGATTGACGCGCCGTAGGGCAATATGAAGCGTACTGCGAGTCCAGCTGATAGCAGAAAGGAATGTTACTCTAACGGTAGTGTAACTGACCTTGCCGAGCTCACTAAGACTGTTTTATGCACTATTTCTGTACCATTAGATGCGAAATCTCTGGAGCTAGGAGCATGTAAACGCCATCTTGTTTGCCCTCGTTTTACCCTGCTCCTACGTGCTATGTGAACATTTGCATTTCGTTGTGCCCGATTGCGTGTTGCTCGGCAACCAAAGGAAACAACTCTCAGGTGCTGCAGCGGAGTGAGCCGTCTGATCCCGTGTCTGATGCCTCAGCTAACCGATCACTCCTTTACATATAAAAACGCAATGGCTCAAAGGGAGGGCAAGTCGTGTCGGGGTGATACCAGGGCAAAACACGGAATTCTCTGTTCCATGCCCGGGTGACCGACTCCAAGTGTTCTGGGGCAGTAATGAATATTGCTTAATTGCTCTGAAGCTTTGCAGTTTTTGTGGCCAAGTTCGCTGTCACAATTTGGGAATGACCATATCTAGATTCGAAAAGTAACAAGGGCCACTCTAGGTTGGCGTCGTATTGTGCCGGGGGTGTGATGCTTGCTCGTTCCCTGTTGTGCCTCGCGCGTGCGGTTCTTGTTATCGGAGTGGATGACCCACTCAGCAATTGAGGCTTCATGGCCTGCTTCTCTGGCAGGAAGGGTAAGCACCATGGGGAATCGAACACCGCACCTTTGGCCGCCCAGACGCGCCGTTCGCAGCTCTAAGCTTCCCGTGCCTGTGGTATCGTGCGTCAGTGTGCCGCGCGTGTCGCGCCGATGCGCGTCATGTGCTGACCGGCCCGTGCCGTGCGCACCCGGTGTGTGACGCCGGCGCCCGCCCCGCCCGGCAGTCGCTGCAGAAGTGGGCCGAGACCGAGTTCCGCACGGATCCGCAGCTGAGTCTGGTGCCCAGCCTGTACCGCAGCCTTCAGGCCGAGGGCCTGTACGCCCAGCTGGCCGACTCTGAGCCGCCCGTCAAGAAGCAGCCGGCGGCCAGCCGCGATCCCAACGTGGTTTCGTCCCAGCAGGAAGAGGATGACATCGCCAAGGGTGAGCGGCGGCTGCTCCCGGCAGGGAGGGAGGGGTGGGGGCACGGGTGTCGCCGGTCGGGCGGCGGGTGCCTCTCCCCCTCCCCCACCCCCAGGGTTTTGTAACTAGCGTTGCGTTGGAGCACAGTCGTGCCGCCACTTTCGACTGCGTCGTGGAAAACGGATGGAGGGTGCCTTGTGACGAAACGATTGCAACGCCAAGAACTAAACAATCGGTTACGTCAATGCAGGTCTGCGGTGTGCTGCATCGCCTCAATATTGGCTTTGAGCTCTTTTCGAGAAAAAAAAACGGTTGTCTCAAAACACCTGTAACGCCAATCCAGATTCACACCAACCTTTGGGCTCTCACGTGTGGATTCCGGAGCGTCCTCCATCTACGTTAATGTTTACGTATCGCCTCCCGCGAGCGGCGACGGGACCCATGACACGCCGCGTTGACGCGCGCCAGCCGGCCGGGCGCCGCGACCCGGTGACCCGGTTCGGTCGGCTGTGGGACACGCGCGCGCCGGCGCGGCTCGCCTCCGGGCTCACGTGACCCGCGCTTTCGCAGCGATCGCGCTGTCCATGAAGGAGGCTGAGAAGTCGCCGCGCACCAGCAGCCTCTACCCGTCGGCGGCGTCGCTGGCGTCGGCCAGCACCTCCAGCTCGGCCCCGGCCGCCGCCGCCACCGCCCCTGCCGCGCCGGCCGCCGGCGCCGCCCAGAAGACGGAGCGGAAAGTGCGCGCGCTCTACGACTTCGAGGCGGCAGAAGACAACGAGCTTACCTTCAAGGCGGGCGAGATCGGTGCGTGGACTGGGGCGACTCGCCCAGCGCTCTGGGTCTGGGATTCGGGGCGCGTGGGGCCGGTAGCATAGCACTTATACGAGGAGTCGGCTTATGATAGGGTAATGAGGCGATGGGTGACGTAGGCAAGTGCGCCGTGGCGTGGTGAAGCCGTTTCGACGGGCCTCTGCCGTGCTGTTTGGTTCCGCTACGAAGCACGTCATCTATCGATTCGCGACAGCTGAGCTTCCACTCAAGGCCAAATGACTGCTTGTCGTCGGGCTTTATGACGCACCAGCCGCTGAGGCTTTATGGCGCCGCCTGCCTCCCGTCCAGGCGGGCAGGGGGTCGCCGCGGGGAATCGAACTCCATACCTCTGGTCACCCAGACGCTGGATCGGGCCACGTGGCTGACCTCACGCAGTCCGCTGTCCCTGTGTATGGCGAACCGCGTGACGGGAACGGCCTCCCCCCCCCCCCCTCATGTGACATCACTGCCGCTAATTGATCCACCGTTCCAGTGCTTGTGACCGAGGACAGCGACCCCAACTGGTGGCTGGGGAACAACCACCGCGGCCAGGGTCTGTTTCCGTCCAACTTCGTCACATCCGACCTGGAGGAGGAGCCGGAGCAGTGGAGTGAGTCGCCTCAAGTCGCTTCCCCCGCGCCCCGTGCGGGCAGTGGCGTCTCGTCCGCTACCACTGCCCGATGCTGTGGTCTGTGCACGATATAGGCTTATTATGTAGTTGACATGCAACTTGTATCATGTGGAATTGGACACTCCTGCCGCCCAAGGCTTCTGAGGGCTTGCATTGCATGGATCATTGTATGCGTACAACGCAATGTATATTATATACACCCACACACACACACACACACACACACACACACACACACACACACACACACACGTGTATATATATATATATATATATATATATATATATATATATATACACGGCGGAGTTTTATCTCGCACGATCTTTTCTTGGGCTTAGTGTCCCCACCCTCGCCTCCGAGTGGGGTTCATTGAGGGTCTGTCAGCTCCTGTAGTGTGTCGGCGTGCGGGAGCTACCCTGCGATATGCGGCGACGTCCATTGATGGGTCTGTCAGCTCCTGTGGTGTGTCGGCATGCGGGACCTGCCCTGCGATGTGCAGCGACGTCACCGGCCTAACATCAGCCTCGTGCGGCGCCGCTTGTTCCGCTGCTGACGCCTCCGTCTGCCGCCCGGTCCAGAGGACGAGCGGCAGCAGCGCAAGTCCGTGCAGTTCAACGAGGAGGTGGAGGTGAAGACGGTGGAGCGCTCCGCCGAGCCGGCCGCCATCGACGAGGCCAAGATCGGCCAGCTGCTGCATCTGCTGAACGAGGCCGACCCGACCGGAGACCGGCCCGACTCGGAGCAGCTGCTCACGCTCGAGGGTAGGTGTGGGGTTAGGGGCCCTCTCAGAGGAGCAGCTGCTCACGCTCGAGAGTAGGTGTGGGATCAGGGGTCCTCTCAGAGGAGCAGCTGCTCACGCTCGATGGTAGGTATGGGGTCAGGGGTCCTTTCAGAGGAGCAGCTGCTCACGCTCGATGGTAGGTATGGGGTCAGGGGTCCTCTCAGAGGAGCAGCTGCTCACGCTCGGGGTAGGTGTGGGATCTCAGAGGAGCAGCTGCTCGCGCTCGAGGTTAGGTGTGAGGTCACGGTCCCTCTCAGGGGAGTAGCTGCTTACGCTCGATGGTAGGTCCTGGGTCGTGTCTGGGGCGACACACCGCGGCCGTGCCTTGATTCCGTCCACAGAGCAGTGTCAGGGGCCGACATACCGGCGGCTGGCCGTGCTGTACTGCCGTCCACAGAGCAGTGTCAGGGGCCGACATACCGCCGGCTGGCCGTGCTGTACTGCCGTCCACAGAGCAGTGTCGGGGGTTGGCATACCGCCGGCTGACCGTACCGCACTGCCGTCTACAGAGCAGTGTCAGGGGCTGACATACCGCCGGCTGACCGTGCCGTACTGCCGTCCACAGAGCAGTGTCAGGGGCCGACATACCGCCGGCTGGCCGTGCTGTACTGCCGTCCACAGAGCAAGTGTCAGGGGCTGACATACCGCCGGCTGACCGTACCGTACTGCCGTCTAGAGCAGTGTCTGGGCCGACATACCGCCGCCTGACCGTACCGTACTGCCGTCCACAGAGCAGTGTCTGGGGCCGACATACCGCCGGCTGACCGTGCCGTACTGCCGTCTACAGAGCAGTGTCTGGGGCCGACATACCGCCGGCTGACCGTGCAGCACTGCCGTCCACAGTGTCTGGTGCCGACGTACCGCCGCCTGACCGTACCGTACTGCCGTCCACAGAGCAGTGTCTGGCGATGGGCCCGCTGATCGACCAGGAGCTAGAGCGGACGGACCGGCGGCACGCCCAGCTCACCAAGATCAGCTCCGACCTGGTGGACGCGCTCAACCTGTACCACCAGCTGATGCGGGAGCCGCCGGCCGGCTCCGGCTTCTATGCGCCGCAGCCGCCGCAGCCCCACCACCTGAAGCAGTACGGCGCGCCCGGCTACTTCGGCGGTATGCCGCCGCCAGGACCGGGCCCCATGCCGCCTCACTCTGCGCCGCAGGTGAGCCGAGCACTCGCCCCTCGCCGGGTGTGTTGGTTAGGGTGTGATAGGTGGCGCTGCGGTCGTCGTCCTGATCACCGGCGGCGGGCGGCTGCTGGCCCCAGCAGCTGTTTAACACATAGGAAGTTCTGTGGCTGCGGAAGGCATGTTTGTTTCCCCGTTGTGT